TGCTTTGACCCGGCTCAGTGAAATATTGTTTGTCGTAAACCCTGCATTTAGACTGCACCATGGGCTGGTAGATTGGGCTGTCCAATTCTCGGTCGTTGGGGTGCGTGTAGTTGACCAGCCGGGGCGTAAGTTCGTAACGAGAGCTACTGTGTACAAGTCCAACATTGTAGCCATCAATGTACTTCTGAATGAGACCGAGTCCCATCATGAAAAAGTTGGACGTGGTGGTTGACAGGACAGTTTTGTATTTGCCATCGGCTTCGACGTGTACCAAATGTCGCCGCACGTCTGTCGTGGGAAATTGGAACGTGAGGTTGTTCTTCAAATCGGTCGCCCCGTAGCTTTCGGCCCAGTTCCATATTTCCGAATAGCCGCCAGCCGGACACCATGCTTCGTACATTCCATCTATAGTCTTACATTCTGATATATCCGGTGTTGCATTGAATGTGTGCGGCCACACTCTTTCCGTGATCGAATCGTAAAATACCGGCAGCGAACGGTCGGAAAGGTTGCTGAACGCCAGGGAATGAGCCAATGGGAACCATCCGGGGGTCGGAACAAGAAGGACGGCCGATGCAGGTCCAACGACTGTGGACATGAGAGTGGCAAAGATAAGAAAAAGGGCAATGATAAACTCCCACGAGATGGGGTTCTTGGGGTCTTGAGAGTGGCGAAAGGCTTTTGAGGCGAGGTAGAGAATGTCGCCAACTCTATAACCACCGGTAAGGAACCCCAAACTCACGCCGCCACCAACCAGTCGGCGACGGAGCATTGCTATCGCGATGGAGGAGAATGAAGCAACGATGAGAAGCTCGTGAATCTTAGCGGGCAGCTGGAGTATGTTGTTGATGACATCGGCAGTTAATCCTATGTTAGGCCAGGGCCCTTCCATGGGAAACCAGTACCAGTCTTCCCAGCTGATCCAAATGATGGCTGCGGTGGAGGCTAGCGCCGGGATATGGACAAGCCATCCATTGAGATAGCGCGATAGGTTTGTGCGGGTGATTGATTTTGGCTTGAGGTTTGGATCGTACGCGATTTGCTTCCCAACACCGTCTAGGCCGGGGCTGTGGTACGGATGGACCGAAGTTATGTAGTCGTCTTTGAGTGTTGAGTCTAAGAAACGATGTTGAGAGTTGTCAAAATGAACGTCGATGCTGGTGCGAGGATCCGGGGATTGCTCGAGCAAGAGCGGCTCCTCGAGCGTGGTTCTGGCACCAGGTGGAAGCGGCCTTCGACGTACCGGGGCAGGCTCTATCGGGTCATAAGAGATGATGCTTGGACTAAATTCTCCATCAGACGGCGTAGCATTCCCCAAACGGGTGTATCGCTGATTGAGTTCCACGGCATCAGAATGCGAGGCCATCTTGGCAGCAACGCATTGGGTATAAGTCTGCAGGTTTCTTCGGCACAAGAAAGAGGCTCTTGTGAATGGGGGTTTTGTACGTTAAATTCTGCTCCCATGATGGAAAATCAGGCTGGCTACGGCGGCATGCGGGAATGCGAGTCCGGGTTGGCTACCACATGTAGGCTAGTGTACTCTCAGCCTTCGGCCTTTGGAGGGCCGGGTAGTGGATGGTGATGCATCCTACCGGTCCACTGTTTCCTGCATCTCTGCGGTGCAGTTGCAGGATCAGGCCTCTGCGAATAATCATCCACGTGCGACTTCACCCGTAGTCGATAAGCTTTAATCCAGGACGTCATGAACCGTGACAATGGGACGCAAAGAGAAATCACTGCCCAGATTCTAAACTGCTTTTTCTCAATTAGTAACGCTTTCTATGAGTTATTCAGGGAGTCGAACCGCAAACGTGTGTTGTACAAGACCTTTGCCTCTGTCCTTCTAGGCGCGGCTCATGTACCCGGCACTCCTCCCACGTGGTTCAAGACAGGGAGTTAGCCAGAGAGTTCGCTAGAACGTGCTACTCAAACCGGCGGGTTCGATCAAGCTGAGGTTGTTCAGACAAATGGCGTCGAGACCAGGCTGGGTTCCACTGGGACCCAACCCCCGCCCTCGTCAAACTTTGTTGGGGGCCGAAGGACCATTAGCAGACCATGTGATGCGATAAACAAGCCCCGAAAAATTGCATCTCTTGCCTTTCCGTGCCCTTGTGAAGATTCTTTATCTCGAAACAATGACCGCGTGCCTGCCTTTTTCAAATTTTCGGGTGAGAGGGCAAGGTCCGGTAGCGCCTGTTCATAAGGCTGTGGCCTTTTCGCTTGAGAAGATTCGAACGAGACTCTATCCCTATCTAAGCCACGCAGCTGTTTGTTTCACACGCGACAGCGGCTGGCGTCCGTTATCTTCAGCCGTAAAATGCCAAGGATTTGTCGCGCGACTTCGGACCGTATCGTGTTGGAAGACCGTGGTAGCCCAGAACAAGTTCTGGTGAGTTGTTTTTGGCCCCGGAGTACGAATGCAGTAGTGGGTCACAGCAAGGAGATTGCGGTGCGGCGCAGGCTGACATGAGCCGTTGATCGGCGTGGTGGCATGTAACGCTGACTGCGCAGCCTGATTGGTAGTGGATTTCGAGTAGACGCATTTAAAACCGACCTTTGCAGTACCTGAAATTCTTCGTGGGCGGGTGGGGCATATGAGCGATAAAGTCGAGCTTACTATTGCCAGCCTTGTAAATACGAGGTTGGTGATTCCTCCCCATCGAGATAAGCCACTACGTAGTTGTGATGCTGGAATCGTACTTCGAACCCTGAGTGTAGCTTGAAGTTAGACAGCAACGTCTGAAGCTGTCTTTTCGCGGGACAAAAAGTGAACTACGTAGTAATGACAAGCCAAAAGATGAGGCCTAACCATTACTTCCTATGCTATCGCAAGTATCGCGTGAACTCACTTACTTCGTCTGCGCCTCAGAGCCATCGGCCTCAACTTCCCGCGGCCCAACTTTTCTCGTCCGACCAGTCGCAGGGATCAGGTCTAATATTTCAAGGGGCCCGGAGAACAATAAGCGCCGGAGCCGAAACGTGTGTCCGGGGATTGAACGAGATGTGGGGCCGTTTACCGGCGAGGAGCCGGGCTTCGGTGCTCGGTCATTACGGCGCAGTGAACAAATCTTGGGAGGAGTCATCGCTGAGAACTGACGCGGTTGCATGGTACGAGAACACGCTTAGGAACCCAACAGGCACTGTGCCCTCAACTGACTTCCAGAAGGACTCGCTCGTTACGCCCTAAGGCGCTCTTCGGGCGCCACTCCATGAGCACCCGGCTTCCGAAGCATTGTGTGGGTATCATTTCGGAAGCAAAACATTGCCGCATTCAGTGGTCGTTCAACATCGATTTATCATCGAGGCTAGCATTCAACGCACAAATTGCTCACCAGGACCAAATCTCCACCACGATCGCACATCAAGATCAGTTACTACCCCAAAACATGCGATCCGCAAGCCACTTAACGTTGCCATTTGGCTGTGGATGTGGGGCGGTGAGCGGCTACCCGGGAACGAAAACGAAAAGTGCCTAGTGATCCAGTCAATAACTACTTGTCAATATCGTGAGTCCAATAAATTTCTTCGTAAGGCATATCAATTTTCTTGGTCCCGGACATCCGATGCAAAGTGGAAGGAGGCTGCATGTATGTCTTAGTTACCGTTTCAGCCACGGACTACATAAACCGAAGGATCTTTCCCCCTCATCTCATGTTCCGTGTCAACATTGCGCCCGAAGCCACATTTGAGCAGGATCATTCATCTATATCGCCTACACTTGTCGCAGCCGACCATGTCATCTTTCAACCGAATCGCTGTTTATGGCCACCGTGGCTGGGGAAGCTCCCGGATCGTGAAGGCTTTGATCGCCTCCGGCGCGCCAATCAGGGTACTGACCCGTCCTGGATCAGATGTATCCAGCCTTCCAGATGATGTCGAGAAGGTCGAAGTAGATGTCAACGATGAGGAACGTCTAGTCGGCGCCCTCAAGGACATAGACATCGTCATGTAAGATCCATGACGCAGCCGCCATATTCGAGAGTACTGACAAATATTCTCACCAGCTCACTTGTTGGTCATGAGGGGGTTCAGAGACAGCATGGCTTCGTAAAAGCCATTCCCAAGACCAATGTAAAGCTGTTCTCGCCATCCGACTTGGCCGCCCGCTACGATGAGCAGGGCATGCGTATCGCCGTCAACAAGAATAAGGACGAGGTTGAGAAGGCGGCAAAGGCCGCAGGCATCCCAACCACGGTTGTCCTCGTCGGAAACTTTGCAGAGTTTGCGCTGAACACGCTGTGAGTGCGGTAAACCATTCAACTGAGTTGATGTGCTGATTTCCTTTGCTTGAAGTGGCATGGGTGTCGACATATCTGGGAATCGACTCATCAACTCCGCCAACAGCGCTGAGGCTAAAGTCAACTTGTGGTAAGTCTGGAACTGCGCCATGCGGTTGCTACAAAACTTGAGGCTGACATCTTTTCATTTGCAGCACAAGAGACTACGTGGCGGCGGCCTATGTGTCCATCTTCACCAAGACGCCAATTGCTCAAATTCAAAATCGGGCCATAGCTTTGACAGAACTCTCACCCACAGGAGAAGACGTTGCAAATGCGCTGAAGGAGAGGAACGGAGAGCCACCTCAAGTATCTAACCACAGCCTGGAGAAGATCAACAGAGAGATTGAGGATGGGCTTGCTTCAGGCAGTCTGTTTACCCTGTCGTGGTACTGTCGCAAGATATGGGGCACAGGCCAGCAGGCGCAGATGGTTGGAACGGATCTCTGGGAGGTCGAGGGGTACAAGAAGGCGAATTTGAAGAACTTGATTGTGAATGGAAAGCTTGAGCACTACCGCGAGATGCCACCTCAAGTCAGAGAGTACTTTGACAGCTGTTTTTGAGCCACCATATAAGACAAGACAGAAAGTACGATGAAACAAAGCCATGAGAATGCTGCAAAACAAGTTCGGTACGCGCCCAATCTGCCAAAGCCGCCGTCGCGCGTATCTGCCCAAGCAGTTGATTAGTCTCGTGACTGGAAGGCATCCCATTTCGGCTCATCACCTTCCTTCTTTTCTCCCCTCCGCTACGCTTCGGGAGTCGAATGATACCGTAACATCGTCCGTTCTCATAATGCCGCGTGGTCTGTGAGCCGACTCAGCGGTCCCAACGAGAATACTTTCCTGGCTACTAGCGTCGTCTCGGTCATGCCGTGACTGAATGACAGTTGAGGTCTTGCCGAGGACATGTCCATTCCGGTTCATGGGTCTAGAGCCGTCCATCTCGATTCCACCCGATCGAAGGCCACCTGTATCGCTCTGTTTCTGATATTTCCGGTCCGTCGAGCTTAGGACGCGACGGCCCAAGGCCAGCTCGACGAGGGGGCCGAGGACAGGAATGCACGAAGCGATGATGAGAGTGTTACCCTCGACTCTGCGGTGACATTAGCTTCTCCATCATAATGTTTGAAAGCATCATTTTACATACACTGTCCAAACTACAAGGTCCGCACTATCATCTAGTTAAAATAAGTGAGTATGGTATCGTCTGCGACTCGAGGTTGGCTTACAGGTGAAGTCTTTGCTGGCGAGAGATGGCAGCCGCGTGCTCTTGTAGATCGATATAAAGCAGGAACTGCCATATACAGGTCAGTGTCTAGAAGCAATGAACAGCTTGGGTCGAGAATACCCACATTGATCCAATGCCCAGCGCAACACTAAGAATAAGCTTCTTTTTGATATTCATCTGAAGCCTCATCAGAACGGTGGCGGGGTATATTGCTAAGTACAGATCAAGTGCGGCCGAATATGCTGCAGAAATATGTTATCTTTCGACGCAGTTCAGTGTCTGCGAGAGATAATCACGTACCACCAGTCAAAATAGCAACATCGATCAGCACCCAGGGGCTCCAGCAGCTCTTTTCCGTGATCGTAAAGTCCCATTGCGCTCGTGATGGTGTGCATTGGGCAAATAGGATGATGATGCACAACAGTACGAGCACCAGACAGATTGTTGCCAGTGACCATAAGACGATGCGATGGACCCTTCCCGGGTTAAGTATCCTGACTAGTAGCGCTACCACCGCGAATTTGGGCACCGTATATGCGAGAACATTGGGTGGGAAGCCGGAAATCGTTGACAAGACAGCGGCGGACTGTTGTTCTGTGGAAAGCGTACCGACGTGGCGACCGTTGCCACTTTGAACGGCCCATATCTCGAGTCCGACTGTGACATAGCTGAGAAGCTGGAAAACGGATGTCAGCAGTCTGAGGCTTCTTACTAGGTAAATCAGCACTCTTACCAGTGACAGGACCGTCAAGTGGTCATCCAGTTGAGCTTTTCCAAGAATCTTGGTTCTCACAAACAATCGACCGAGGACGAAAAGAGTGCTGATGCCGACAATGATGCAGATGGTTGCGATTATGCTTGTGCCTTTAGATTCGGCGGATGACTGACTTGTTAGTGACGTGTCAGCCATGTTCACGACCGCAATCACAAACGAAAACGAGACACATGATGAGGGAGGGAAAACTTTCGCAAGTTTCCTTCGCGGTTGCTGCGACGCACAAACACCTCTACACGAATTCCGATAATGTTACCGCAAAAGAACTTGGACCATCGCGCGAGGACTCAAGAGACCCAGTTTTCCGCCGTTGTTGGTGCGATGTCGACACACCTACGAGCAAGGTGCACGTTCCGACGCAAGCCTGCTATCGGCCAACTCCCCTGGCCACGGGGAAGATACCTGCAACAGTCCGGCAAAGAATCTGGCCAAATATTCATAAGTCTCGATCAGGGAGGAGTGGCAGAGCAAGCAGACGCCGGTAACCCATCCTTCGACCTGAAGCGTACATTAGCCCCGAAGCACTCCTGAGTGTGGATATGTCCGGTGAGCAGATTTAATGACCTGGAGGTGGAACGACTCGAACCAACAGACAAATACCCATGCACGATCGTGAAGATTTCCCCATCAAGAACGCGCAATGCTCGGACAGGTCGGGCCTGCGGCCGCAACCGCGGGGATCACGATCCGCAAGCTCCACCGGAAGTCGTTCCGGGATCCTGGACAGTTTCCACTTTGAAAGCGTCCTCGTCCAATGGCCGGACTACTTGTGATTTCTCTTGAACCAACAACAACAACATCAGCCCATTCTATGCAGGAACGTTGGAATCCCCTTGTCAAGTTTTTGTGTAGCCCCTGGAGATAGGAAGGTGCCCCTCAAACCTCCTTCAACAACAATCAGAGTGGAACGGTTGAAAACACAAGTGTTAGCTCATGGAAACGCGTTGGAGCAAGACCAGGCAAGAGCGCCGAATCAGAAAGTTCCATGGAACTTGAGCATGGCGCAAGCTGCCTACGGTCGCGACAAGGTCCATCACCTTCCTCCTCCACCTCCCGATGGCAACTAATATCCGGCAACCTGCCTTTTTGAGACGAGCTCCTTAAGGGTCTGGCCGACAGCAGAGACTAAAAATCATGAGATGTCATCCAGGAGGGAGAGGGGTTGGATCGGTTTAAAGTATCATGGGCGGGTCCAGGAATCGGCCGGGGAAGCCGCTGGTTGCGCCGGGGGAATAGACAGTTGGGACGATGGTTACCCATGCTGTCAATGTGGCTCTGTTTCATTAAAGACAGGTCTATGGCCAGTGTCCTTACACCAGCAGCTCATCTTCGCGTTGCGTATTCTGAATTCGGTAGTCGGCATTGCTTCCTTATTCCCCCTTTGTCGTCTTCTCTGTACCTTGAATTTCAAGTCGTGTTTGGTTTCTTCCACACCCGCAAAATGGGCTCCATACCAGAACCACCCAAGGAGGTTGACATCTCTGTTGCTTTGAGCGCGTGTGACCTTCCCAGCGTCAATCAACATGTGAAGAATATTGCTGGTCTGACCGAGGTTGTGGCTTCTAGAAATGACACTGCTCGTCTCAAGATGTTGGCAAACGCACGATCACTCGTCCATGCCCTGGAAACTCCGCGAGAGACTATGATCAAGCATTGCTGGGCGCAGGTGCGATATAACTTGACCTGTTCATTCCTTTAAGACATGTCTAACGTGTGATTCTGGTATAGCCCGCTGCATTCACTGCACTCACATACGCCGTGGACTCGGGACTCTTCACCTTGATGGCTCAGACGCAAGCACCTCAACGAGTATCCGACCTCGCTTGCAGACTTGGACACGATCCAGCTCTACTTGGTGTGCTGTCTCTTCACGAGCATACTTCACTTGAGATGTGGTGCTAATGCGTAGTAGGTAGGATCATGCGGCACTTAGGAGCGATGCAGTACATCACCGAAACCGGGCCGGATGAGTACAAACCAACGAACTTCTCCAACGCATTGACAATCACAAGTATGGGAGCTGGTTATCCTTGCGTGTGAGTGCAGTCCAAAACCTTCATGGAGTCCTCAATTTACTAATGATCCAACCTATGTCCAGTGCTGGTGCCTGTATGGAAGCTCTTGCAAAGTTCCACGAGTTCGCCAAGAAGACCAACTACCGCGAGCCCCACGATGTTTTCAACAGCCCTCTGCAATACGGATATAACACAAAGCTCGACTGCTTCAGCCACTTTGCCGCCAATGCACCGTACGATATGCAGTTTGCACAACACATGGGTGCGTATAGACAAGGCAGACCAAGCTGGATGGATAAGGGATTCTACCCCGTAAAGGAACGCCTTCTTGATGGTTTCGACCACTCCGAAGATGGAGTTCTCCTCGTTGATGTCGGTGGTAGCTTTGGTCACGACATTGACGAGTTTCGGAAGAAGTATCCTAAGGCTCCTGGAAGGCTTGTCCTGCAGGATCTGCCAAGCGTCATCAACCAGATCGACAAGTTGGAAAACACGATCGAAAGAATGGGACATGACTTTTTCGATGAGCAACCAATCAAGGGTAAGTCCTCAGCCTGATCTTGATACAACACGGACGAGTTTGACTCAATGAATTTCCCAGGCGCACGGGCTTATTACATGCATTCCGTGCTCCACGACTGGCCAGACATCAAATGCGAAGAGATCTTGGCAAGGACGACGGCTGCTATGAAACACGGTTACAGCAGGTTACTGGTCAACGAAAACTGCATCCCGGATACTGGCGCCGATTGGCAAAATACCGGACAAGATATCATGATGCTAACCCTTGTTAGTAGTAAGGAGAGAACTCGTCTTGAGTGGAAACTGTTGTTAGACAAGGCTGGATTGAGGGTCTTGAAGATCCACGATGTTGGCAATGGCGTTGAAAGTCTGATTGAGTGTGAGTTGGCTTGAAACCAAGGAATCAACGCTACCGCACGATAGTAGAAAGCTTTGCTGTGGGTGCCTCAGTTTCCGCCACTCTTGACTTCGTCTGAAGTTCTCGTTGCGATATAATTGTTCAACTTCAGCTGTCCACCACTTATGAAAACACATTTGATGTGTTGTGCAATTATGCATTCTGCCGATGCAGCGGTTATGCAAGGCATTTTGTTTCTGTTGCTGACCAAAACTGTGCTTTGTATCATGCGGTACCCGTGACCCGAGTGGGCGCGCCGTTGTGGCGCCTCGGGCATCCTGTTTTATGCATGCAATGTAATGACTCGTGATGCATGGAAGGAAAACCAGTGGGCTTCGTACAAGTAAAGTCCAGGAAATAGTGCTAATACCCATCTGCAAGGCATCCCTCCACACCCACTAGGCAGAGAGAGCTCCCTGATGTTCTCTTAAATGGCTTGAATATCTTTAGAATAGATGCACAGCGACTACATTTGAACATCTAAGAGCTGTTGTTATTACATGAGTGCCAATCGTTCATCCATCAAAAAGGGACATCGAAGTGACATTAGGAACAGTCAAAGCGACGAAGTGGAAAAAATCATAAAACGCCTATTAACGTAGTATACGTTATTCAAATTGGTGTGTTTTTCAATTTTGGCTAATGGAGAACTGCGAACGGCATAACGTCGCAGACTCGTCATTCTCATACGCTGGCGATGTCTAAAACTAACCTTGGGTGACCATTCGACCATACTTGGATGCCTTTCATCTTCATGTTTTTTGTGCTCCAAAGAGTTCTTATTGAATTTGTAGGCAGGCCTTGATCTTAGCTAATTCGATAGCGGGCACCCCTAGCTGGAAACTCAGTGAATTTCGCTAATACACTTCCTAATTTTCAGCATTGACAAGGTCATTTGCATAAACATGATCTTCTGTATTGAATCCGCCGGTGCTCCTTTTTGGCTTCCTCGGTGACCTAGGATTCGGTGTTTAGCATCAGGGATCACCACTCGTCGTCCATCGAGATGCGATTCTTGCACATGGTGTATGCAAGTGAGGATAAAGCAGGAGATTCAGAGCCTACTTGTCTTTGTGCCAGTAGACCATCTTGAAATTGACCAGTGTATTTGATTTTACGAAAGACTATTAGAGCATTACCTTTCAAAATGTCATTTTCAAGACGAAGCATACCGGCTGAGGTTCCAGCCCCGTTCAGAGATATTGTCAGCTCAACATGCAGCGGCTAATTACATGGTTGATGGGCTTTCGCTCTGGATGGGCAGGCCTCTATATCACACGTTACTCTTGACTGCTTTTGTTGGCTGTATACCTACTATTTACAACTTTCTTACTCATCACCATCGATGTGTAAGGCCTCACCGCTTCTAGGTAGAAAGGTGGAGCCTACGTCCAACACGTGCGTCCGCTGATACGACTCTCAGCAGACCCCAATTCAGCCTCGCTTGTTTTCTCTACTAGTCCGCCCACGCCAATACCCTTTCCAAGATCGCCTCCCCATCATGTACGTCGTCGATACCTTTCAGCCCTACCGACGGAGTCCAGTCTGCACGGTCCGACGCGCCTCCCGTCGCAAACCCGGCAAATAGTCTCGCAAGAGCGGCGTCCATCTCTGGGTGGCCTTGGAAGGTGAGAATAGGAGGGCTGTGGGAAAGGAGAACCTCGTTTTGAGATGAAGATGAGCCAGAAGCGATAGGTGTAAGATATGGCCCGGGGTGAGTTACAACAAGGGCGTGATTTTTTTGAATGTCCTACAGTAAAGATAGAGGCATATGTTAGCTTTTCTGTTGGTCTGTAGGAAGATTGGAAGGGTCTTGAGTAGGTAGGTCCATACAAGCGATTCAGTTTTGAAGAAAGCAGCGCCTTGAGAAGTGAGAGGGACGGTCTCAACACCAATTGATTGCCCGCCTCTCTCCTGCGGCACCTGTCCCAACCGCCCTCCGAGAGCCAAGGAAATGGCTTGATGACCCCAGCAGATACCCAGTAACTTGGCCTTCTTCTTACTACCTGGCTCACTGAGCCCACCTGCTTCGTGAATTTTCACAGACTCCTGGATCCAGCCAAGTGTTCGCCGCACCCACTCCGGTCTCTCATTCTCCTCGGTGTATTTCAACAGATTGAATGGTCCTCCTGTCAAAATCACTAGATCGTACTCGGACGGATCCGGGAAGGCATCGCCGCGGATGGCGGCGTGGACAGTGATCTCAGTAGCACCTGTTCGGGAGAAGCGGAGGAGAGTGGTGATTCTGGATAACATTTCGCTCCCACCTGGTTCGTCCGGGTCGAAATTTGCGAGGATGGCGACGCGGAATGCCATGTTGGCTAGTCTGTTGGGAAATCGTCAAGATTGCTTCTGGAAAGTTGTGTGCTTGGATGATGGAGTTCTGAAGTTAGGGTTTCTGTGTTGAATTTATAGCTGATTCACCTGTCAGACGTTGGGGTCCACCCACCTTTCCGCCTAAAAGCGGAAAGGGATCCGGCTCTTCCGACCGGCATTACTGAACTTCAGAGGTAAAGATAGGGGCTATAGGCATATTCAGGGGCAGATTGCAGCACGAGATATTTCGCCAAATACACACAAGAGATCACACTGAAATAGAGACTTTAAGATACCCTCCGTTACGAAAGGTTGTATTGGTGGAAACGTAGGGTGTGGAATGGTGTGGGCGTGATAGGCGCCATAATGAAGCTCTTCTGAAGTCAGGTATAAGGTCTGACGGGCAAAGCTTTCCTAACTGAAGGCATAACAATAACAACAATATAAAACAATCCATCCCACTGTCAAATGTGAACCTAGCCGAAAAAATGAAACTTTCTCACATGTCCTTTTCGCCTCCTGCGAGACTATCTAGAACCTCTCTGAAGCATCCCACAACATGATCCGCATCCCGTTGGCCCAACACCATGTTCCCTACCGTAAGCGTGATTTGCAAACTCCCCTCTTTCTTCGGCATAATCAACACATTTGCCGTCTTGGAGGGCTTATTGGGCAGACTCCACAGCCCGGTCTCACAGCTCTCTCCGTTCAGAGAACATCGCATGCCGTCATCATCCTCAAAATTCTGAAACCTCACAAAACTCCCAAACTGTGTCCCCGGTGCCCAGCGGGTACAGTGTTTCGTAATGGTCGAGAGGGACAAGTTCTCTACTGGGAGCGTGGCCATGTGCTGCGATTGAATCTGCTCCAAAAGCACCCGCGTACTGACTGGGTTGTCCAGATTGGGTGTGGTGGGTGGTAGACGAACCCGGACGGGAATGATATTCAGACACGGCCCCACGATTCTGTCTTCGTAGGGGAGGGACAGTGAGCGGCCGTGGATAACTTGACCGAAGACCACACTCTTTCCGCCTTTCGGCCCCTTTTCGTTGGGTTGTTTTGGCAAGAAGAGCCTTGAGAGCGTGAGAGCCCAGGCCAGCTTCACCAACGTAGCCATGGTGATACCCGCTGGCGCCACCAACGGCGCTGTCTCGGTCATGGCTGTCACGACGCTCAACTCTTCCTTAAAGCTCTCCCCACCCTCCTCTGTTCTCGCCACGCCATCTCCGCGGCGCAAAATCTGGCCATCCAATGTGGTCATCTCCGCATCGTCAAGGATGTCTTTCCAAACTTGGTACGCTTCAGGTGTCGTTTTTGTTTCTGTCACGCACTTGACTTGGTCCGAGAACTGCGCGCAGGGAGCTAGAGAATGGCCTGTATTATCATCATAGGCGGCCGACAGGTCGTCGATGAGGACGTTGAGGGATAAGCCGTCAAATTGGGCGTGCGGTAGCCTCAGTGCCAGGTATCTCTTCTGCCCCTCACGTAGTGAGAGAAGTTGCACCTGGAATCCTTCGGCTCCGTTGACCGGGGGCCCGTGGGACAATGAATCGCTGGTGAAGTGCTGGTCCAATGACTCGATGTCTTTGTGATATTTCAGGTCCACCGTGAGACTGCGGAGGACGAGCTGGACGACGGAGCCAGTGGCGGCGGTGGTGGTTGTGGTATAAAACACGGTCCGCAGAATCGAATGATTCTCCGTCAACAGCTGGCACGCCTGCTGCAACCTCTCAGTATCGATGGTGTCCGGAAGCGAAATCCACAGATAGCGCGAGTAAAAGTTGTACAGCGTCATTGTCTGGAAATCTGTCGCGGGGAGAGCCAGTTCCACTTGCTGCGCCACTTCATGTGGTAGACCAGGCGGTAGTTCACATCCCAGGGCCTTTTCACTGTTGCTGTCGGTGGTCGACAAGCTTTCAGAAGAATCTTGAGACGTGGCGTCTGTGGTCGACGAGCTTTCCGAAAAGTCTGGAGTGGTGCTGTCTGTGTCTGACTCTGGACAGCAAGAAGCCGCGATTTGTGATAGGATCTGATGCTTGAAGATCTCGACGACGCCCAGGCGAAGTCCGTTGCGTCGAGCGAGCGCAGCCACACGCATGGCCGAGATAGAATCACCGCCTATGCCAAAGAAGTTGCCGTTGATGGGCACTTGTTGCGCATCCAAATGCAACACCTGGGCGATTATTTGGAGGATTTGGGTCTCATGTTCCGTGAGAGGAACCTGCTCTCCGTCTGCTGCTTGCTCGCATGCTGTGCGCGAGCGAAGTTGGTACTTCTCCCTGTGATCCTGGCTGCTGAGGAGATTTGTCGATTCTTCCCGTAACAGTTTGCGGTTCACTTTTCCGGACAAGCTGAGGGGAATATTCAAAAAGGGAAGGAAATACGAGGGGAGCATGTATGAGGGTAGGGTGTCCTGGAGTGAGGTGTATAGGCTCTCGATGGTATTGTAGAAGTTGTCGTTGGGGTCCTGGATCACTTCCAGTCCACCCTCCTTTCCGACTTCTCCCCAATCTTCAAACTCATGCGGCGCGACAAAAGCGACCAAAAACGCTCTCTGGCCTCTTCCTTTCTCCGCGATCTTGACACAATCCACCGCCAACTTGCGGACACTCGAGCACAGCGAGGTGATGCTGAGTTCCACTTCCTCAACCTCTAGCCGCTGCCCGTGTAGCTTGATTTGGTCATCCTTGCGTCCGAGGAACAACAAAGTGCCATCTTCTCTTTGCCTCACCAGATCCCCCGTCTTGTACACCCGGCCAATCTTGCCGCCCTGAGCTTCGCCGCGGATCTGGGTCAGCCATGAGGGTGGATTCGAAGAAGAAAGAAACACAGCATCCGTTTTCTCGGCGTCTCCGAGGTATCCTGAAGACACCACGGGGCCTTCGACGAGCAGTTCGCCAATGGTCCCGATCGGCACAAGCTTGTGGTGATTGTTTTGGCTCGCCACCCACGATACGGCGCCGGGACTGCGACCGATACACGCCGGCGGTGTATCTGATCCGGGTAAAATGCGCGAAATGTGCGAGATGACGGTACACTCGGCCGGCGCATACATGTTGAACAACTTCACCCTCCCTGCCCATCTCTCCACGATCTGCGCCGTAAGTTGCTCCCCCGCTGAAGCCAGAACTTGCAGCGTAGGCACCTCTTCGGGGTCAAGCAGGCCGATCACGGAGGGCGTCAGCAAAGCCCACGTCACGCCCAAATCTCCAGCGGCTTTGGACGGGTTCGCTCGTCTCTCTTCCTCGGTCGGCACACAGACCGTCGCGCCCGCACTGAGTGAGAACAGCAGTTCGCCGATGGAGAGGTCGAATGCAAACGAGGAAAAGTTGAAGACACGAGAGCATTGAGAGAGATGGCCGGTGGTGGAGAGGTGATACGCTGAAGTGGACAGCGCGTGGTGCGTGAGCTGGATGGCCTTTGGGAGACCAGTCGAGCCAGACGAGAAGACGATGCAGGCTGGGGTACTCATGTCAATCTCTGGCAGTCCAGCGGGAGCATCTCGGGTGCTTTTGGAGACATCTATGATAACCTCCGGATCGAAGATCACCTCCGGCAGCAACAGATCGTTCTCCACCATCGTTCGATGGTGAGGGAAACACACTACTCTTCTGGCCGATAGCACGGTGCACATCGTGCGGAGTCTCTGGACAGGGTGTGACAGATCAAGCAGGGCAAAGGCTGCGCCGAGTTTGAGGACGGCCAGCATCAGGACCGGCGCCCATGGAGAGCGTTCCAGTAACAACGGCACAAAGTCCCCCTTGTTCACACCCGCGTCGGACAAATGCTGCGAGAACAAGTTCGAGTAGCGCTCTACTTGTTCATAGCTCAGATTTAAACCATGAGAATGGACCGCCACCTTTTCCGGCTGCGAACCGGATTTCTTGCGGATGGTGTGGTGGATGGGAGTGTCGACCCCCGCTGGTAGAATGCCATTCCATTTGCTCAACCTTTCCACATCCTGTCGTGGCATGTGGTCGATGTCTTTGATCCGCAAGTCATGCGCCTCGGGGGAGGAACAGGAGGAAGTCGATGACAGAATTTGTTGCACAACATGCGCCATCTGCCTCAGTATGCCGCGCGTGGTGTCCGCATCCAACATGGTAGGATTCACGGCGGCGGTGAAGGCGATGGAGTGCTGGGAGGGGCGGCAAGTGAGGACAAGCGGATAACTTGCGAATGCCTTCGCGTTGTCAGGCGACTTTGAGCCCCCTATGTTTGCCGAAGTTTCGAAAATACTGCTGGGTGAGGATTGTTGATTGTCCATCTTTGCCGTCTGTTGCTGGACGACGAGGAGGTTTTGAAATCCACACGCGTCAGCCGCCTCGCTACTCACTGCTCGAATCCGCGACAGGCCCGTTTGTTGATGTGCCATCATATCGGCAAAGCCTTTTTGCGCTTCCTCCAGCACCGTGTGGATGGCTTGGTCTCCTGGAACCTTGACACGAACAGGCAACGTAGCTAGCGTGGGTCCTGTGAGTTCCAGGTTGTCCGCATTTCGACCCGTGACTGTTGCACCGAAGACCACATCCGGAGAATCAGTCTGGTTTGAGAGTATGATACCCCACGCTAAACGGAGAGTCGTGGAGAGTGTGTATTTAGAGTGGGCACTCGTCAAGGTCGGGTCGAGAGAGAGGGTGTGTTCGAGAATGACTTTCTCGACGGTGGAGGGCGTAATGCTGCTGCCGGGAGGAAAGTGTTCAGTTCGTAGGCCGGCGAAACTTTCTCTCCAAAACTCATCAGCGGCGACATTTTGCTCTTGAGTAAGGAGGTTTTGAACAAATGGTGAAAAGGGTCGGTAAGGCAGAGATTGTCCAGCATACGCCTTTTCAACCTGCTCCAGAATGAGATCCAAAGACCATTCGTCGAAGAGCGCGTGGTGAATGTCCAGCCGAAAGGCTTGCTTGCTCAGATACAAGCGTACAAGAGGGCTCTTCCCATCCACAGCAATTTCAACTGATAAGCTTGATTCGTCAACATCGTCGACCATTGTCCAGGGTATATCACAACCACTTTCAGTCACAACTTGAAACGCCCCCTCTGGAACCTGCAAAACGCGAGTCCGGAGAATAGGGTTCATCTGCCATACCGTCTCCCATGCCTGTTTGAGTTGTGCGACGGAGATGTCATGACGCACGGGCCAGGTGTAGCTGCCAATATACGCACCACTATCCTGTGCCGTAAGCGCGATGAGGCCTGCTTGAATGTGTGTTGCCGGATAGATGTCTTCGATCTTCTCTCTTGAGAGACCGACTTCCTCGAGAATGGTTGGGATGATTGATTGGGGAGCTTTCAGCAGCGAGAATGGAGGCGGGACAGCTGACGGCTGTGGTGATGCTTGGGAGAGGGCGGTGCTGGCGTTGACGCCTTTGACGAGGACAGGAAGAGCGGCCATGTCGGCGAGGGTGGAGTGTTTGAAGACATCCTCAACGTTAATCTGAATCCGTTTCTCGCGAAGATGTGCGGCGAGTTTGATGGCTGCGATCGAATCTCCACCTCGTCGGAAGAAACAATCTTCCCTCGAGATGCCCTCCTCGTTGATGTCAAGTATTTTGGACCAAGCTTGGACAATAATCTTCTCCGCGGTCGTCGTGATCTCGCTCCCAGCTTGTGCACCACCAACACCCGACATTCTGGTCTGACGGCGGGCAAGTTCACGAATCGCTGTCTCCTGAAGCAACACCCTGTCTATCTTCCCCGATGAAGTGAGCGGCATATGCTGAAGGAACATGAATTCAGAAGGAACCATAAACGCGGGCATCTGTTGCGAAAGGTGATTCTGCAACACGTTTTGAAATTCCCAGCTGCCTTCAAGTTTCGTTCCGAGGCTTGCTGCAGATGGCCTGCGGGAGGTTTCGACGCCGAGAAATGCAACAAGCTTCGTGCCACCCCCACCTTCTTTCGTCTTCACGGCCACCACGGCAGCATGCTGAAATTTTACTGTGGACGGGTCGAGTTGCGTACAAGCCACAACTTGGCTCTCCACCGCCGCTAACTCTAGTCGCTGTCCATTGATCTTCACCTGATGATCTCTTCTGCCCACTAACTCCAGCGTTCCGTCCAAACGGGGACTATATCGAACCAAATCACCCGTCCGAAACGCCTTTGTCCAAGGGAACCTCTTATCACCCTTCCCGTCTGCATTCGTATTCTCAGCAAGCCGTCGAAGAAAAGCGCTCTTCCACTCTGGCTCCGTCTGGAATGATCTTTCCGTGCGCTCCGGGTCGTTCATGTACCCACGTGCAACGGATGGCCCTTCAATAACGAGCTCACCCAGAGCGCCAACGGGCGCGAGGCGGGAAGGGTCGGTCATGGAGAGAACCCAAAGCGTGGAACCGTTGCCACGGCCAATGTTGGAGGGCGAGGAACCACCACCGGGCCGGACATCCCGCGCAAGAGCTGCGATGCCGGTGGATTCGCTAACGCCGTAGGCGTTGAAGAGGACGACCTTGTTGTTCTCGTCACTCGTCCACTTCTGAACGTGCGACTCCGTCATCTGTTCTCCGCCGAGCACAAGTCGCTCCAATCTTGGAACTGAAGCTGGCGGCAGCGTTCCCGCCATACTCGGCGTCAAACTCGCCAGGGTGACACCCGTCCTCTCGATGAACCCGCCGAGATCTTCGACGCGCTCCCGCTCCGAAGGCACGCACACGCAGCCCCCAAACATGAGCGGGATGAGGATGTCTCGGTTTGCGACGTCGAACGTGTACGAGGCAAACTGCAGCATGCGGGTAGATGGCGAGATGTGCAAGGCAGAAGTGGAGGCTGTAGCCATGGCCATGTGGTAAAAGGCGTCATGAGAGGTGGTGATGGATTTTGGCGTGCCAGTCGTGCCTGAGGTGAAGGTTGCGTACATTGCCTGGGAGGGGCTTGGGGTTTCTTGGCTTTCTTCTTCGGAGGGGTTTTCGTCCTCTGGTGATGAAACTTTGAGGTCCTTGCCGGCCTCGTTTCCCAACTCCACGAACCTAGGAGCAAAGCTTTGCGCCAGTGTGTGGTGTTTCGGCGAGCAGACGGCCAGCTTGATATCAAATGGCTGACACAGTGTCCTGTTATACTGAACTGGATGTGTAGGGTTCAAGAATAAGTATGCACCGCCTGCTTTGAGCACACCAAGCATCGCCACGATTGCCCACTTGGACTTGTCGAATATAAGTGGCACAAAGACCTCTCTCCGAACACCCAAGTGCCTTAGAGACACCGCGAGCTCGGAAGAGAGTCGTTCGAGTTCGCCATAAGTGAAGTCGCCATCCCAGGAGGAAACGGCGGTGGTGGAGGGCTGGGAGCTGGCTGTGACCGAGATGACCTGGTGGATGCATTTCGCACGGCCAATCTCCTTGTTTGGAATGGAGTTCCATTGCAAGATGCGAGCAATGTCGGTCTCACTGACGAGGTCCAGGTCTGAGATGATAGAATTGGTGTGTTGTACAATTTGTGCGACTGCTCTAGCCGCTGTTGCCGCTATCATGCGAGCCTGCTCGAATGCAATAACGGCAGGGTTGTGCTGAAGACTGATGCTTATCGTGTCTTCGCGGAAAGACACGGCAAGATCGAATTGCTTTAGAGTTGTCAGTCTTACTCCTGACTCCCCATGATGCCGATTCGTTTTGACGAAGCTGGGCGAGGGAGACGAAAACTTACGTTTACAATGTCCTGAACACCTTCTCCCTCACCTTCGAAAACAACCGAGCGTTGCCCCCAAACTAAAGTTTCCCTCTCCTCGGGGGCATTCTCGCGCGGCTGAATTTCATAGAGCGAGCGCACGGGTTGCTTCGCCGAGGCATGAGTGTGCCACCAACTTGATTCATTTCATCAGCCTCCTGAACTAACTCACTTGAGAACGAAGGCGGGGGGGGGATCTCATACCTGACCCCACCACTCTGACTGTATGAACGAAACCCCACATCCTGAGACCCTGTATAGCTCACCAGTGTGATTCCCCATGCCGCTCGCAAGAGGTCTTGTAGGGTCTTGTGCTCTGATTGAAGCCAGGAGGTGAGGTTATCGCCAGAGAGGTCTGGCACCGCAGCGGTGACGGTGGCCATTGGTTCTTCGCAAAGGCCCTCTTGAATCTGAGGAGTCTAAGAGTGCGTTGGTGTTGGTAGGATGGTCCTTGTGAGGTTTCGTAAGGTTGAGATAGGAAAGTCTGTGGTAGTCAAGGATAGACGTAGTTGCCGATGAGTGCTAACTGTCTAATAGTATCTCCAGAGTTAGCGGAGCGGAAGAATACTGGCCAGACCGGCTCGGGTCCCGGGACAGCTGCCATAAAATCTTCGGCTTCTCTCTGACGAAAGCAGTTAGTCGGGATGAATCCCGCGAGAGTCTGAAGTCTGAGTTAACCGCCGTGGTAGTAGATGTGACTCGGGTGGCTCGGCTCTTTTTCCCTTCCTCTGCTGCCTTGCTGGTGCATCTCAGCTGCTCCCCTGTCTTCACGAGCTGCAAATCAGACTTTGTGGGTACACGATACATGGTATAGGATCCTGACAAAGCTCAAATCGCAACGTATTATCCGAGGCATACAAATCACGCTTGGCACTGGGCAAGAGCGCTTCTCCTCTGACCCGTCATGTTACGTAGGTGCTGTAAACAGACCGGAAAACTCTTGGTATTGTCCCTTTAATCTGCCGATCAGTGCCCAAAAGTCGTGCTGATGAGCGTTGAAGAGTCCCAAATGCACGAGCAAACCAAAAATCTGGACCGTCGGGTTGTGCGTCCGGCCACCGTCCGAAGGGGTATTGGACTACGATGGCGTAATATCAGCCAGCCATAGCGTTGAATTTCGCACGACTGAATACACGTATCATTTCAAGCGGGACTTGAGTTCAGAAACTCTGTCATTGTGGCACCCTTCGTCCTTTAGAGGTGTACGCAATGGTATAGAGCCCCGGTGGCCGGGCTAGACCCGAGGTAAGCGTTGTGAACTGAGGCATTTGGTGCAGGCCAGTCTCAACAAACCCACATCTTCTTATTCCAAACATGAACTACAAAGTACGCCGCAGTTTGGCCGGCATAGTGCGTCAAAATGTCTTTTCCACAGCAGTATACGAGTCAGGTAATGTGACGATCCAGACGCCCGAAAGTCCCGCCCGGGACCCCGGGCTTTGTCCGGACCGGCTCGCAGGCGGGAACCATCCTCTGGACCGCAGCGATGAGATGCATCACAAGTGGGGCCGACTTCTTGCGGAGCAGTTACACTTCGCCTGCGTATTACTAAAGAGCTGGTAACGCTGTAAAGCTTGAACAGTGGGTTCAGGATACGGTCAAAGATGACCCACCAGGCCCATTATGGGACTTTGTGATGGATTAAGATGTGAAATATTCAATGATTCCGGTCTAGGTCCAGAAGATGGCATAAGCTCCGGGACCCATAACACACGCTTCAGCCCCCGCCCCCCATGCCATCACGACTTGTCATACTTTGACAAGGTAGCGGAAAGTCCACAAATCTGTTACAGACGCACCCTGCTTTGTACAAAGTACATTCTACCATATATCCTTGTAAGAAATGGGACACGTGGTTCGTCCGTTCGTCCGCAGAACACTCTCCTCCGAAGATGGAGGCTTCCGTGATCGCTGTGCCGCGCTCGGCTGGCTTACTTCCAGCGCGACGCTGGTGGAAGAGAAAAGACCCTGACACTTTACAGTGGGGGCTGGTGGAAATCCCATGCTGCGCTTACGGCCAAAGCAGCATTAGTGCCTCCATCTCCATGAAGACCTTGTGTTTGAACTTGTGGACACTACCAAAGTACTTTTAGAGAGCGAGCGCGAGTCTCAGGGCATCTCCTGTCGACACATGGTAGCTCGTCTGAATCAGAAGTGCCCGTGTTATCGATAGATAGATGACTCGTGAAATTTGTAATAATATCCTCTACTAGATTCGACGTTGACTAGCTGCGAGAGGCGTGAATAGCGAGGCCACAACGTCAACTTTTCCATGGTTCGCTTTGTTTAGGTCATTCCAACCCAGCAAATATGTGCGGAATCAGCGCCTTCATGAGCCATGGCTCCTCCAACCGAAGCCCCGAGGAGACCAAACAGGTTGTCGACGAGCTCGAGAGCAGCCTTGACATCATCGCCCATCGCGGTCCTGACGCCAGAGGAACATGGTACAGTGAGAACCACCAGGTCGGTCAGTATCACCCTTCCCTCGTGAAGCGTCCAATCGATAGCCGTTTTTCCTGACACCACCCTTTCCAAAAGGCCTCGGTCACGTCCGTCTGTCCATTCTAGACCTCTCTCCCACCGGCAACCAGCCCTTCCACGACTCTCACCCTCCCGTCGCGCCCACCATCTCCGCCGTCGTCAACGGCGAGCTCTACAACCACGAGTACTACCGGGATCTCCTCTCACCCGAGTTCCATTTCGTCGGGACTTCGGACTGTGAGATTGTCATTGCTCTGTACAAGCACTACGGCCTGTCGTTTCTGGAGCACCTCCGCGGCGAGTTTGCGTTCGTGCTGTGGGACGAGAGCCAAAAGAGGCTGATTGCCGGACGGGATCGGTATGGCATCAAGAGTCTGTACTATACATGGCACGATGGGAAGTTGCTGGTGGCCACCGAGATGAAGAGCTTTCTGAGGTTTGGAAAGGGAATGGAGTGGGGCGTGAGGGAGTTGAAGGAACAGAGTTGGCGGGTGGGAAGCGAGACTTACTTCAAAGGTATCTACAGGGTGAGTATATTTCATTTCTTTGGACTTTTGGGCGCTCTGTGAACGAGGCGTGGGGAGAGATGACGAAGGGCTGATGAAACGTGATGTGCTATAGGTTCTCCCCGGACATTACTTAGTCGCAAGGCCTGGTGAGCAAGAGTATCAGGTGCCTTATTGGGACGTCGAGTATCCGGACAAGGTCAGTCTCTTCCTGCATCTGTCCTATATCGCACATCAATTCTAAAGGCCAACCTCGCAGTCAATCCCTGATTCTCGTTCCGCCACAGAACTCACGGAAAACGTCCGCACACGTCTCCTAGAGGCCACCAGAATCCGCCTCAAAGCCGACGTGCCGGTGGCCGTCTACCTGTCGGGCGGCATCGACTCGTCTTCGGTGGCCGGTATGGTGGCCTACCTCATGAAGCAAGGCCACCACCTCGGCTCCGAATCGTCGACCGTGCCATCCAAGATGAAGTGCTTCACCGTGCAGTTCGACGAGGGTACCGGCGCAGACGAGTCGGCCGTGGCGCACCGCACGGCTGCATGGCTGGGCGTGGACATTCACATGGTGAAAATGGACGAAGAGGCCCTGGTCGCGCGCTTCGAGGACACGGTGTGGAACGCCGAGATTCCACTGCCGGATCTCAATGGAATGGGACGGTACGCGCTCGCCGAGGCCGTCCATAAGCAGGGGATCAAAGTCGTCATCACCGGGGAGGGCTCGGATGAGCACTTCGGCGGCTACGACGCCTTCCGCGCCGACTGGCTGAGCGAGGCCGATCATTCGTGGGCGGCGCAGGAGGAGCAGCTTTCTGCGAGTGACCGTGATGAGGCGCTGCAGACGGCTGTGGCCGCCAGCAAGCGCGGAATCTTTGGGGACTTTACGCCAGAGATCCCCGCTTCCTCCGAGAGGATGATGAACCACGGTTACGTCCTTGCGTCCATCGCGCGCGTGGGCTCTCTCCCCTTTGCAGAGTGGACCAGATATGCCCACGGGGACACGGCGCCAGAGACGGCGCTTGTTGAGGGCCTCGACGGCCGCGTGCGGGAGAACATTCGCAAGCGGTGGCATCCATTCCACGCAGCGGAGTACATGTTTGTGAAGACCTTCATGCCGCACTATATCCTGCGTTATAACGGTGACAACGTCGACATGAGACAACAAGTCGAGTCGCGTTGTCCGTTCCTGGACCACCATCTCACCGAGTACGTCAACAACATCCCGCCGGCGCTCAAGATACAGTATCACCACGGCACCAAGTCCTGGCGGGAGAAGCATATTCTGCGTGAGGCGGTGAAGCCGTTTGTGACGGATGAGATTTATAACATGAGTAAGAAGGCGTACATGGGGCCCAGGAAGTTTTGGGTCGGGGGCCCGTTGTGGCAAAAGGTGACCCAGCTGGTGACGAAGGAAAATGTCCAAGAGCTAGGCTTTGTGGACTGGCGGGCGACCGAGGAGGCGGTCAAGAGGGCGTTTGAGGAGCAGGATGCATTGTCCTTGAGGAGAGCAATTACAGTGGCCCAATTTGTGGTGTTGGGGAAGAGGTTCGGCGTAAAGAAGGCGGTGCCGGGGCAGTAGTAGAAGAGTTGCATAAATTCATCATCGGCATCCGTAGAGGGGCTTGGCCAGTGGTGATAATTGCATCCTCATGTTCACTCGTCACTGGTTCCTCCACGGGAAGCCCATTCCTGCGGGCGTCCTTTGCCCCTAGTTATGGGGGACGGCCCGGTGTTAAACAATGCAACAACAATGACAACTCCACGGGAAATCAATTTACAATTTGTTGCCAAGTTATGTACCTGCCTACATAGGTACGTAGGTAGGCCGTTCCAGTATCATCTATGTCCCGCCTCTCGCTTCACCAGAACGCCGCAACCCTCACTTCGATGCTCTCACGGGCTTCCTCCGTGTCATCCTGTCCCACAAGTTCAAACGCACTATGCACCGTCCCGCCGACGCCCAATCCTCCCTTCCCTCCATCCTTTCGTGGTGCCCTCGCATTCGCCTCCATCTCATTGTCAAACAACTGGATCACCAGGACCTCACTCGGTTCCTGGTCTGCAATGAAATGCCAGTCATGTGCTCCACCCTCCTCTCCATTCTTTGGTGCGTAGGCCAAATACCCCTCAGTATCATACGTAGCGTCCTCGGCTGAAGAAGGAGGGACAGTAGAGGCGGGGGCAGAGTTGGGACTTTGGGAACCAACGAGGCGCGACAGGTGAGCTGGGATAGTCCGGTCAAGAGGCTCCAGTTGGGCAGAAACCACATAATCCTCCTCAGGAAACTTGTTGGCTGGTGCGACGGCCAGCGGATCCCGCTTGACCGTCTTGATCGGGCGCCAGATGGAAAACAGCGCGAAGCGCGGGACGCCACCCTCGTGGTAGTGGTCCTTGAGATCTTCCAACCGGACCCCAGAGGAAAGTAGAGCGTTTTCCGCCGTGATAACGTGCTCGGCCGCCGAAGTGATTTGGTGGGCGTACTTGCGAATGTGCAATCTTGCACCCTTGGGCGTGAGATCGAGGTGGACCTTGGGGGCAGGGGAAACGGCGTCGGACTTGGCGAGGCCGACGATGGGAGGGAACTTGGGAGTAGGACCGCTGCTGCCCTCTTCCCCCTCCTCCTCCCGTTCCCCTTCTCCTTTCCCGTCGTCTTCTGCTGAAGAGTTGGAATCGCCGGTGCCCTCACTGTACGTCTGCGTCCGCACAACGGCAGCACTCACTACCGCTGTCTTGCAGCCCGTCAATTTTTTCACAAACTCCTCGACCTCGGGAAAATAGACGTCCCTGAGTGCCTTTTCATCTTTCCAGCTCGCATAACTGAATGGCTCAGCATGCAAAGCTGAGTGGTGCCGACGGGAGGTGAACCCATGCACCGAGAGCTTATAAGGCGAGGCATCGCCCAGGTCGAGCGTAGGCTTGAGGTCTGTGAGTGGGAGCGTGACGATAGAGCTGAACTCGGAGAGAGAGGGCAGGAGGTAGGCCTCTTTGGCCGAGGCGGGCCTTGCGTTGGGAGGCAGGTAGCGAAAGATGCCTTGATGGGCCATGACGAAAGATGGCGTTGACGATGATAAACAAGCGTGTGAACTATGATACTGACAAGCCTTGTCCGTTTTACTTATTTCACTATGAGACTCTTAAAAACAACGAGGTACATGAGAACCTGTGCGCGTCAAATGCCTCCCGCAATTATCCGAGACATTTCCATGAAGGCAGCCTTATTAGAAGTTGCACCTCGTAAAACGGAGACTTCTCGCGTCGCCTTCACATAGAGCGGCCCGGCACAGTCACACGCTCACTGAACAGCTCTGCAACTAAGGAGATGTCTTTCCGGCTAATCCTTTCCCGGCTTTTGCCCATGAGTTTGTTGCCAAACAAGGGTCTTGCACGCAAATGATCCACCCAAAATGCACTGCCCACTGCGGTCCCATTTCTCGGGATCCCACCCACGATTCATGAGCAACAAGTACTGACTACTTTGCGCATAGATCCGACTGGGGGGTGCGCGCAGGGCTGACAAGATTTGGCAAAGCCCAGATGGCATAGGTGCGGATGGAAGGGTAGAGCCGAACAATGGGCCGTGCCGTAGAGCTGGGGAAAGGATTTTAGACGTAATGAGTCGTGAAAATGCCCCGGGGGCCCTGGGAACCATATCAGGGGTCCCGAGCTCGGCGCGAATAGCAGCCATACTGGGAATGGCAGTGCTCAGTTGCAATCGCACAACCGTCGTGGAGGGCTAACATTGCCCAGAAAGATATAGTGATTTTTCTAATTGAAACCTGATTCCTCTATATATCCAAATACTATACTTTAACACTAACTTATCTATGATTGCTTCATTAATTATAACAGAAGCGCTCAATTTCAATGCTTACTATGCTAAAGCCTGCCACAGAGAGCAAAGCTCTAGTGGGGCAGCTAGTGCGCCTAATCAGCGGCTTTGCATTCGGCTACTAACGTGAAGGATTTCGCAATCCATGCTTTGTCGACATCGGAAGTGCTTTACTTAGCTAAGCGGCACGGACAAGCGTGTCACGGACGGTCCGGTGCCCGAATGCGACGCCGGGGTTCTGCCCGGGCCATCTGGACGTCAGTGGGGCTCGGCGGGGCTCGGCGGGGCTCCGGGGTTCCGGGGAACCGGGGCTGTCAGCCTAACCCCGCCGGTTCCCCTCAGGTGCCCCACTCCATACGCCTCACTTCATGTTGCCTGCCAAGCTGGCACAGAGGCTAAAAAGAACACACAAAAAAAATAGACTTGAACATCAGGCTGTGCCGCTTCTAATTACCGCCGCCTGACAGGTAGCATGCAGATGCTCCACCAAGAATCAGCTCTCAGTCCTTACTCCGATCCAAGCCGGTGATACGCAAAATGCCTCGTGTAATCGTTGCTACAGAACAGATCCACTTTACCATCAAGGATTTTTCTTGCTTCCGCCGCGATTCCACTTCCTGATGTCGTGACTCGTGAGGACCTCACCCGCTACATCCACTCACCATCGGTCCCTACAAAATCCTCCCTCATTTCTCTTAAGCTCCTGGTCGTCAAAATCACACCATCCCAACACAAAATCAATCCCGCCCCTGCAAACCTTCGCAAGTCACCCCAGTGAAAGATGGGCCGCATCCTCATCACCGGATCCACCGACGGCTTCGGCCTCGGCGCCGCCCGTCAGCTCGTCGAGCGCAAGCACACCGTCTATCTGCACGCACGCAACGCGGCCCGCGCCGAAGAGGCCAAGAAGCTCGTCCCCGGCGCCGCGGGCGTTTTCGTCGCCGACCTCACCAGCACGTCCGAGACTCGCTCCCTCGCCGAGCAGGCCAACGCAGTCGGCCAGTTCGACGCCGTCGTCCTCAACGCCGGCTTGCTGTACGGGCCCTTCCGCGAGACCGAGTCGGGCGTGCCCGCCCAGGTCTTTGTCAACTTGGTGTCGCCGTACATCTTCACCTGCCTGTTGACGCCGCCGAAACGGATCGTGTTCGTCGCGTCGGTGCTGCATCGCGAGGGCAAGCCGGAAGTCGAGGACATCTTCTGGCTCAAGAGGGGCGAGAAGGAGTGGAACGATTTCGAGGCGTACTGCAACTCCAAGTTCCACGTCATGTGCCTCGTGAATGCGGCCGCGAAGAGGTTGCAGGGCAAGGGCACGTCGGTGGTGGCGATGCACCCGGGCTACGTGCCCACCAAGCTCACAAAGTTCGAGGCACCTGACAAGATGGAAGACGGGCTGGAGACGTATGTCATGCTGGCCGAGGGCGAATACGATGTGAGTGGAGAGACGGGTCGGTACTTTGATCCGAAGAAGCAAAAGGGCGAGCCGCTTCCTGCCACCGAAGATGTAGGCCTGCAGGAGGCGGTGGTGAAGGCTCTGGAGGACTTTACGGGACTGAAGCTGCCGGGCTCTGCCTGACGGCGCCGATGTCCCATCTGATGTTCAGATAGTCAGTCACCTTGCTGATTACTCTCAAGTCAGTAGTCTTTGAGTAGACTCGTATCTGCAAGATAATCCTCGTACTTTTTCCGATGCAAAGCGCGTGACGTTTCGAGCAAACTCATAGTCGTGACATTGAATTAAACCAAACCCTCCGAGCCGAAATAAGTAGCGTTCGCGTCCTGCGAAGCTAAAAGAACCGAAACTGACCACCGAAGCTCTATGGATAATCTAACATACCCCCCACCTCAGCTCACCTAAGCAATAGGTCCATAAAAGCTAAACAAGCCATTGGGATCATACGCCGCCTTCGCCTCTTTCAGGCGAGTCACACGCCACTCCTCCTGTCCATACCACTGCTGCGGCCCCTCATTTCCAAACGCGTAGTTCAAGTACACGGGAACAAAATCACGTCCTGTGCCTTCGTGGAGAATCTGACGGAACTCGTTCCCTAGCTTCGCAACCTCCTCGTCCAGCGCCGCGTCCCCGGGCATGTACTGCAGCAGCGGCCCAACCAACACATTCTGAGCGCGGTGCGCATACGCACTCGAATCATCTGCCTTCGCCTTGACTCCTTGCATGGAATAGTCATCAAAGGTGACCAATGAGTTACTGAGCGCCGAGTTGGCCACAATGCTGTTGGCGAAGAAGTCAAAGGCAAGCTTCTGGGCGGTGGTGTTGTAGGTCTCGAGGTAGATGGGGAAGCGCGGGTTGTTGGCGCCTGTCTTTAGGCACGGGCCGTCGGTGGTCCTGACGCCGACGAACTTTGCGAGGTCGGTGTATACGCCAGATTCCGACGAGTTGGAGAGGGGCCCGAGGGCGTGGAACGGGGCGGTGTAGGCTGGGTCGACGGTGGTGACGCCTTCTTGCATGAGGAGGACTTGAACGATGGGCTGAGAGAGTAAGTTAGACATAACCTTGGCACACGTTTGGGGGGGAGGGGGGGGGTGGGTAGGGGGCTGAGGAAGACGGGAGGGCTGAGGAAGACGGGAGGGCTGAACTGACCTTCTCGGCATCAAGATCCGGGCTCATCATCCAATAACTCCAGTTGATCAAATCCACCGGCTGCGTCCCGTTCTTCAATATCTCGTTGTTCGTCACCTCATACACTTCCTTCACCAAGTCGCCGCTGAAGTTCATCAGCTCCAGCGCCCAGTCTTGATGTTCGACATCGTAGATCTGGGATGTGACGCTGGTGACAATTCCAAAGTTGTGGCCGGCGCCGTTCATGGCCCACCACAAGTCCGGGGTCGCGGTCTCGTTGATCGTCATCAGTGTGCCGTTGGCGAGCACAACGTTCATGGAACGGAACTGGTCGCCAATCAGCCCGTGGCGGCCCTGGAGGAATCCGTGGCCACCGCCAAGGCCGGGTCCGAGATAAGAGACACATTCACATGCACCAGTGACTTCAAACCGCCGTAGGTTAGCATCATCAGAGGTACACACGGTATCTAGATAGGTGTAGGGGCAGGGACACTTACCTGCCTGCTTGCCAGCATCCCAAAGCGCGTGAGAGAGAACATGCGACTTGGTTCCGCCAGCCACTGTCACCGTCCGGCCATCTGCGGCAATCTCCACACCTGTGATATCATCGAGGTCTAGCAGGATGCCGCTCTTCATCTTGCCCAGTGTGGTGATGGCGCCATGGGCACTGTTTGTGGCCAGGAAGGGGAGGCCTTTCTTATTGGCAAACTTGACCTGTGCGCCAAACCGCCCGATTCCAATATCAGCCAAATATCTAGTGAGGAAAGGCAGACAGGAAGTATGAAAAAGAAAAAACAAAAAAAGAAATTGGACGATTCTTCTTACCGTCTCGACAACATCGTTTTCAGTGGCAGGCCTCACGGCCACGTTCACCGTCGGCATGTCCAAATTTGACCACCGCGTCGTGACATTGTTGAAGTCGTCGGATCCCGAAAAGAACACCTTGGCGGTGCTCGAAAGCGATGCGACAAGGGCTTGGTAGTCGGCGTCCTGCCGGGACCAAAGAGTGTGGCCATTTACACCAACAGCAGTCAACGCCGTAGCGAGAATTTGCAGGCCGGTGGGGTGCATCGTGACTGGAACTGCGACCCTGAGGGATGTTCAGGAAATGAGTACGAATATGACTGGTGAGTGATCGGGTTCCAACAAGTCAATCAGCGGCCGCAACGAGTTACTCTTGAAATACCTGAGATGGACTCAAGATGTAGTGCAGGGCGCTGCATTTTGCAAAATAGCCGTTCCAAGGGAGACCGGCTCACGACTCATGAATCCTCGCCGACACGGAACCGGGACTAACGATGGCCTCACTTCCGAACCAGGACGGAAGCCGGCAAACCCCATCACCCGCGTGCGTAGGATGCCGAAGTTGAAATTGCGGCCAGTCACTGGCCAAGGCCGGGGGGAGAAGGTTCACAAGTTGACAGAAACAGGCATCAGCCCGGGGCATTGGTCTCCTTTCGAACAGTAAGCGAGGCTCATCGCCATCATGGGCCACACCGGAAGGAAGCTGACAGCATTAGCGTTGAGATACCAAGATATCAACTCAAGAGAGTCGAGAAAGCAGGAAAAGCTTACAAGAACGCATCTCGTACTGGGAAGTCCCACCGCAAAACGTAAGAGAAACCAGGGGATCCATGACTGTGGGCTTGGTGGAGATTCAATTGAACTTTGAAAGTCGCCCCCCCGGGAAAAGGGAGGCTCGGGGCAGGCCAGGTAAGTTTCGGGGTAAAAAGCGGCACTTTTTGACGGCCACACCGTAAGTGACCACACAATATACTACCACTATGCATACCTCGTCAGAAAACATGCGATGGGGCCTGAATTGTGTACATACCCCCAAGTCAGTGATCTGCCCCTTGTCCACTGATACCGCACTGACATTCTCAGTCCCCCGATCTTTCCGTAGTCAGGGCGGATGCAATCCCGATGCTAGCGGTGTGGCTCTTTAGACGAACTAAATTGTCTCAGTCGGGGAGTCACTGTATAACATGGACTGGGCATGGGCAGCGAACGAGCACGTGGTCAAAGCTGATGCGGCAATTGGAGTGAATCACTTCGATATTATCTCAGACAATATCAAGTCAGGTTGATGTCTCGTCTGGTTTTCCCGAATCTTAGGAATGAATGGCTGTAAACAACGGCTCTGCCTCGGCGTCTTCAGCTGAAGACGGTCCAATGAGTCTTGTTCCACGTCTACACAAGTACCCGTCGGCCCAAATGATGGCCAAGATAACACTCTGTATTACCAAGAAAGAAAGATAGAACCCCCATCGATCAGTCATGTCGTATACTTTTGTGCCATACTGGACCAAGGTCTGACCCACGGCGTTACCAACGCAGGACAGTGAAATGGCGGCCGCTGCCTCTGTCCAGCCTCGACCGCTTTGCAGACTCGTTGACCAGAGTACTTTAAGTTGTGAGAAAGTTAGAGACCAAGTTGGAAGAAGCATGTACTTACATGGAAGAACAATTTGGTCGAGGTGTACAAGAACTCGCAGAAGAAGGATTGCGTTCCTCCAATAGTGGCCGACATCCCGGGAAAGTATCATGATTCCCGGGACAAGACAGCTCATTACCATGACTGCGTCTGGCAAAGTCACAAATGTCAGTGCCATCCGTCCCAATCGCCGCCGATGATGCATTTACTCACAGGAAGCCGGGGGCATGCAATACGTGACTAGTCCTACTAACACAGTAATCACTATGTAAATAACGCCGAGGCTTGAATCGTCGCAACCATCATTGTCTCTTGACTCAAAAAGAACCGAGGTTAGAAAGGATGCAGCAAAGACGAGGAATATCCTGGCAACAGAGCGTGCGAGCGGCTGCATGAAAATTAGCTCTTGAACTGTAATGTAGAGCACAACTAACCTGTCGCGGACTCAAATTAAACCTCGTTGTATCGTCGAAAAACTTGTGTAAGCAAGTGCTATGGCGTTGCGCAATAGTTTGGCACGCATCCAGCCAAGAAACTTCGCCAGGTTGGCCGATGGTCTGTGACATGCCAATCATCATGTGGATCACTAAGAAGATAAAGTGAAATATGGCGGCGAAAAGGCGAAATGGCAGAGCTTTGGGAGCGACCAACCCCCAGAGAACCTCCACTTTAGGGACGGCAACGGTCACTAGGAGCAGTCTCAGTGGCAGGAATAAGGACTGTTGATAATAGGCACCCATCTAACGCGCCTTCGGGGATAAAACCGGCAAGAGTAGCATCGTTGGTGGCTTCGGCGACAAGTATGAATACTACCCATGGGAGATTAGCTGATAGTGGCCTCATTATGCGGCGCGAACTCACCCTTTGCGACAAAAATGTACGGAAAGACCAAGTTGAGCGGCAGCCTTGACAAAATAGCGAGCGAGAAGACTTGTCCAACAACGAAGGAGACCTTGTAGTTCAACAGATCGTAGGAACGGCGGTTGAAATCGTATGGTCTGAAGATCTTGACGCTGAGCTACAGAATGTCAGCCTCATTGGCAAATTGGGGATCAAAATAGAGGAACGCCAATGCTGAGTTGATGACAGCAACTGGACGTCGCAATAAGACTCTTGGAGCCATAACACCCCAGGCCATACGACGGGCACTTGAAATTTGGTAAGTCCCCAACATGCGAATAACAGTTGAAGTCGTATACCAGAGGAGTGAGGATACTTACAAGGCATATGACGAGAAACAAAATTTCTGTTTTCCGTCAACCCGGTCGTTCCACGACTAGAGACTGCCTGCTGTGATTGCTTCTGTTCGGAATATCTGGTTGTAGACCGTCTGGTAGAGGACTTTCGGCGACACCGGTGGTAGTTGGATGTGGTGCAACTGAGACGCTAACTTGGTCCATCAAACGCATCCCTTCCAGTGGGCGACGGCTTGTACTGAGGTTGGCTTGCCGATGATACGTCTGTTCTTTCGGGTCATACGAGCAAAGTATGGCCCTGTGCATCTCGTGCTCCTGTCCACATACAAACATCGCAAGAGGGGGCGTGTTGCATTGTAGAT